ATGAAAAAATAAAAATAAATTAGTTGTATTAAACGAGCTTAAACGACATAAAAGTTCATAAATAATTGGTATGTTAAATTTAGTCACATGCTGTCCAACTATGAAGTTTCGTGTGTTCTTTTTAACGGTTCTGAACAAGATTGGAAATTTGGTCAATCTATCTTAATGCCTAATATTTATAATAACTTAATAAACTACAGTGTATACAAAAAGAAAAATTTCATACCTGTAATCTAACTTTTCGCCTTCAAATACTATACATTATTTATTTAAAAATACCTTTCAATGTGAAAATATTTTATATACAACTAAGACTAAACAGTTTTTATATTATGATTAATTCAAATTTTTTCTAGATGACAAATGACAAGTATAGAGACTTCCCAGCCAATTTCTTCCCCATCTGAATGCAGGGAATTTGAGTCCGTTAGAGAGAATAGTGACTTATCTTTTCTCAAAGACCATAACTCGAAGGAAGAATTGTATCAATTAATTTTCCAATCAAGCTCTATTACCTTCCCGAGTCTGTTATATATTGTATAACAGAGGTAAAGTATAGCCATCGGTCAAAAACGATCCCCAAAATTTTCACATTTTTAGACTCGTGACTTTGAAACTTCGATAAATGTCAAAAAATTTGAGGGTAAAAACCCTCGAATTTCTGTATATATGTATGTTAAGATGTTAATGTGTGTGGGAGGGCAGGATTTTGTTCACCCTCTTTACAGCTTAGTAACTCCCATGCTTTTTACAGTTGAAATTTATAAAAATATTTTAATTAAAAATGTATTCTTAACTTAATAAGTAAACATATAACATTAATTCAAATGTTTAATATAGATATTTTACACGTGTACAGTACACGTGCTCACGCACATGTGAAATATCTGCACACGCATATGCAGTATAAATGAATAGCAAGATTATTTGCAAGGTAGTATAATTACGAGAAATAAAAATAAAAATCTATAATTGATTTTTAAAGATTATTTTGGTAATATGATGTGCTAAAATCAGCGGCGCATTCAAAGATTTAACCTTAGGAGGAGCAGAGCTGGACGGATAAAAAATTTTTTTCATGCGAATTCAATAAAATTCTTATCTTACGTGATTGCTAATACATAAGTAATATAGAAGTTCACACTAGTCGTTATCGTTGACTTTTCCTCTTATTTGTTAGTCATTCGAAAATTAGCCAAAATTCAAAATTTATCGTCGTCGTAACGGTATTGAACAATCAACGTAACATTTCCGCAATTCTTTGAGTAAGATGGAGGAACCGCTAATCTTTTGTGTGGAAGAAAGAAGAGGCCTTACGAAGCTTAGTAAGTTGTAGAAAGTATTTGGAGACAGAAAAATAATTTCAAAAAATCCTTCCATGTCTTTTAATCGAAATTCCTAAACCAAAGTAAGGAAAGCGCCTTGTTTTTCTCTCAATATAAATGCTTATGATTCACCATAGACGTTTTGATATTTTCTTTAACAAAAGTAATAAATTCCACTGTCGACGTCGAAGAATTAACATTTACTCTGCATGTTCAATTTTAAAACAGTCGGGTACGGTCTAAATAATTTGTCATCGGTAGTATAAACGTAGTCTAATTGAGCTGCAATACGAAACAATTGTAGACCTATAAATTCCCACTGTTGTCCGTCCGTCTTTCCTAAATCTCGAGAATGGAGATAGATAGATGAAAGACGAGATCAGATATGGAAACCTTAAGGAAAGAAGGCCCAGATTAACTATACACAAACGTCCGGTCTGCATTAAAAATCAAGTTATTTCGATTCAAAATGTTAGAATTTTCCCCCGAAAGGTTTTAGATAGATAATCGGCACGAATCTATTGTTAAAAGAAAAGTATAATGTGCAGGGGCAAGCCACTACTGATTTGAGGTGGAGAGCATATATTTTAAATTAAATAAATTAAAAATATGTTTAAAAATTGCAGCCCGGCATCGTGACGATGTCACAATAAACAATTGCTCGTTATTGTTGTTATATTATAGATTTAATATTGTTTGCGGTCTTTTACTTTCTACGAGTTATTTATGACTGTTTATCATTGCTTCTATAACATTATTTGGTCTTTAAAAGAGTCAGTAGAAGAATTTCGAAGGTAAATTTGTTATACAGTATTTATGTTTGATCGTCACCATTAATTTTAGTACAACTTTTATAGAGAAATTTTACATANCAATTTTTATACATCCGATTTAGTGTGCTTCTTCTTTTACTTTGTAAAAGTTCTCTTAAATTCTTGTTTGATTCATTACATCCCAAGAGCAGCACGGGTTTTCCCTATGGTTTATTATATGTTAAATGCTAAATAATAAAAGAGACATATTAAACATTTCAGCATGTTTTTATTTATGTCGCAATGAGATTGAAACATTTCTTAATGATACCGTTAATAATGCAAATATTAAGCTGCAAACACGAAAGTAAACAAAGCAAATGAAACACGCTGTTTTCGAGTGATTTTTCGAGTTTAAAGCAATGGATTCTTTCAAAATTTATTACTACTTAAAAAAGCAACAAATATAAGTTACTTATCTTAAAATTAATGCTGAAAAACTTTTATTATATACATATACAACATTAGGAAAACAGTTCCTTAAATGCCTGAAGCCTGGAATGTTTTTCTCTTCTAGGGATCAATATTAGTCAATGACATCCGATGAGATTTAGCACAAAAGTCAGTGAACTCTCGGAGCTTTGCAGATTGGAAACCATACGAGTTTGACAGCTTTGGAACTATTACATTCAGATAATTTTATCTCTAATAACGTTAGCCCAAAGATAAAATTATGTGTGGATCATTTGTTGTGAAATTTTATTAAAAAATAACTTTTATATTATTATAAAAGGGCAAAAGGTTTAATTTTCAAGGTAGAGATGAATTTTTAAAAATATTGTAAATGCCAATAACGAGTAAAATTTCCATTAAGTTCGATCCCACTCAAGATATGACACATGATCCCCTCTATCTCCTCTAGCCCTCTTGACCTTTAACCACCAAAATTTAATAGCATCAATGCCACATAAATAGAAATAATCTTGCCAACTTTCAAAAGGTTTGGTTCGTCAAGTCCTGAGATATAATGCAAAATAGACACTCATATACTCCAGGACCTCATATATTATAGGTTAGGACAACAGCTAAGTCCAGTCTATTAAAAATCATTGATTTGTATTCGATTATATAGGCTCTATACCAAATTTAATTTAGGGTGAGTGATAAAATCAAATGTTCTATATTTTCAATTTTTAATAATTTATAATACAATACTTTGTAAACACTCTTTTAATTGTGATAATTAGTTTTAACAACCAGAGTCTTTGTATTCAACGTCACTAAAATAATGCTAATTATGAACAAATAAATGAGACAATTTAGTAACACAGGATTTTTTAAAAATAGTCATTATGAGTTAGTTTTATAGAAAAAGTACGTATCTTCTTCTGTAAGTAAAGGTAAACCTCGAAATAGCGCCTTAAATTGTGTTAGTTTTTATCTTTGTAAAGCGTCAATGAATGCTTGTGTTAACGTATCGTGTCCATAAATAAAAATATTAAATAAAAATTCTTTTAGTATCTGTGAAATGTATGATTTTGCATCGATATTTAATCTTTCAAACTGAAACTTATATGTAGATACCATTACTTCGGTTTAGCGCCACACACGATTTAGTGATAAAGAGGCGGGGATTGTATAATGAAAATACAGTAGAGCGTCGATTTTCCGAATCAATTGGGGACTGGGGTTGTTCGTATAACTGATATTTCGGATAACCGATTTATGCACGAAAAAATAGTTTAACCTATTCGATGTTGAAATGTTTCTCCGTTGCGTGTCGCTTCGCGTTGAATTTTCATCGATGTTAAGCCTAACAAAGACTATTGTATCGTTAAAAATTATTTTTTTATTTTGTACAAACAAAATAAATATACAGTATATTTAGGTTAATGTTTTATATATAATTATTTTATTAAATTTTATGAGTTTATGTATAATTATAATTATAATAAATGTTAATTATATTATAAATAATATAACACTAAATGCGAATTCTATTATCCGGGAATAGTTAATAGATTTCTATTATACTTTTTTACAGCTCACCGATTCATGAGCCATAAGAAAACTTGTCCGTAGAAAACAGAAAATATTACCCTTTAAAACTTTAATAATATATATTTATTTAAAATTATATAATCTAAATTCCATCAGTTATACATTTTTTTTCTAATAAAATTACGTGAAGGTAATTTGCATTTAAATACGTATTTTTATTAATTATTCGCATTTATTTTAAAGTAATAACAATATTCAAGAGTTAATTTGAATTATTGATTTTAAATTATCCAAATAAAAATAAAAATTATCGAACGTTCCTTTTCATACTCTACAATATTTAATGGATTTGAAAAAATAAAATAAAAGCTGTATCTATCTATTTTAGAGTTTTAAAAAAAGAAACATAATAGAATTTTTATTGGTTTTCGTAAGTCTATATATTTTTTTATTTATAAACGTATATAATTTTTTATATATCAAATATTTATTTACTTTTTTAGAGGATGAGTTATATTTAACCATGTTTCAAATTTGATTAAATAACTGGTTATGGTAATTAAAGTACAGTATCCCCTATTATTAGTAACGCTGATTGGTGAGATAGAGTATTTATTTAGCAATTCAAATATAACCAAATTTAGTATGGTAACATTTCAGGATATGCCGAAGACATTTCTGTAAAAGAAATTAGTACCAAAACTCACCATTATATCACTTTTGTCGCTAGAAGTAATAAAATATTTGTACAAGACATTCATTCTATAGAGACCTTAGTGATGCGTGGGATGCTGCTCGATATGATCATCATGCTGAAGTCTATAAAAACATGAAGGCGATGAACATATATTATTATGTATTTGACGGCCGACGGTAATTGATTTTTTTATGATACTTCTCACAATCATAGTGATACTATCTTTCAACGCTGCCACATTTGCAACATATCTTCTAAACCACACTTTCTGTGTCCCCACTATAAAAAATCACAAGGATTAAGGTTCTGAGAATAAAATGACTCGGGTGTAGAAAATGAACGACTAATTACTTTATTATCGGTAAAATTTTATCGCAGAAACTGCTGTACGCAGCATCCGGTATGTGCAAACCCTTCATCTTGAGTAAAAAGTGGTTGATTCAAGGTATTGTTTCTGCTACAGTTGAAGTAGAGTATGTCCAGAGAGATCTTTTCACAGTGTCTGGGTCCTAGACATAAAGGTAAAATTATACTTCTATTCCGTATAGCCTATTCAATAACTACGCATAACTAAATTTTAAGTGAAGCAATGAACTAATTATTAATTTTAGTTTATTATTTGCATGTTATATGTTTGCAACACAACAACTGTCTAAACAGATCAGAATCATATCATAAACGCATTTTAAAGTTTTATATGTGCAAATTTTCTTATTGCTTCTTCAAAAATAAGTTTTTTTCGTAATTTCTGCATATTGCAATTGAAAAGACCATTCTTGGGATTTTTTGACCCGTCCTCATTCGATCCAGGATTCCCCCAGAGAGGTAGGCTGGCACCTAAACTGCTCGGCCACCTGGCTTTCTCTGTTGGGCTAGCTAACAGGTTGAGATATTATTAATATAATAAAATATAATTTTAAAATGTACAGACTAACTTTAGGTGGGTGTAATAGAATCTGCTGAAAGAAATGAGAGTTTTTCTTAGCCCAAATGCAACAGTTGTGTGTGTTCACTTTCCACTGAGGTAAAAATGTTTCACAGGATCTTCCATGGCTGTGACGCATCCACTTCTATTCAGGCAAGGAAAGTTAATGCAAGCGTGAGTCAGGTTTCCCTGTTGGCAGCAAGCAACAGGGCTGGTTGTAGCTGATCTTAGATCCTGTCTTAGACGAATAACAAAACTATTTTATCGGTATCTTCCATACTATGCCATAGAATAGTTTGATTTAGGCAAGGCAACACACGACAATCTACCTTCCAGGAAGACTTTCTAAGAGAAACTGGTTTCTATTTAGATTTTAGACATGTGAAAAAATTCGGAAAATTCCACTTAACTATCCTATTGACAAGGAATGCTTGTTAATCAGTCTATTGCTCCTGAGAGCTTGTGAGTCAATGGTCTTCGGCGTAAATCCTTCTGATGGAGAAATTCCCAAATACAGGTGCAGCATTTTTATGGTTTTATAAAACAGCTTTGCAAGAAATACGCGTTCATTCAAGGTGATATTGTTACCCGACAAGAATAACATTCAACATTTATGGACACTTTTATATCTGGAACGAATATTTATGCTAAAAAAACTGCTTTTTCGTTGCTTGCTGCGCCAAAAGTTCTATAGTGGTGCTAATTCCCAGGGCTAATTCTTTTACGAAAATATCTTCTGCATGTTCTAAAATGTCATCATGCTAGATTTGAATGCATTTGGACTGCTTAATATTTCTCTAAATAGAGTTTAATAGGGGATACTGGTGAGTTTGCGCATCAGTACTGTCCTTATGCTTGCAAGTTTATACGCCTAATGTAATGTTAGGATAAGCGAACTGACGGATGGACAGAAAGAACGATACGCCCGAAAAAACGAAATACTATATTAAACCATTGGTTTTAATATCAAAAATGTTCCAGAAGCTAATTTCAGATATACGTTTAGATTATAATTTATGGATGACTTTAAGCTTTCCAGCATCAGAAAAATACGAAAACGTGTCGCCTTCTCGTTCGCCATGTTTGAGAAAATGACATCAATTTTTTGCTATATCTTAATGCCTCCGTTATAAGTAAAAGATTACTCCGAATGGCTACCGTTTTAACCTTATTTTATAACGTAAAGCCTTCACTACAGCAATGTTCCGTTAACGTCCGTCTATGTTTCCATATCCGCCAAACATCTGAATAAGCATTACGTCATATACACTGATAAGGCATTGCAATTTCAGTGATACACTGAAATTGCAATGCCTTACACGTGTTTTCTTTCTTTCTTTCTTTTCTTTTAGTTTGTCTTTGTATTCGTGTGCAGATTTGTCCCATAAACGATGGTTCTGTCGCACGGTTTCGACATCGGCCATCTTGGAAATGCTTTCTGTTGGAAACTAGTCGATTGCGTGTAGTCGACAGGACAGTCACGATTAGTTGACGGATGGTGACGACAGTTTCTGTCGACGTTACGAATGCTCAGTCGTTGAATTTGACGAATAACGTCGACGGTAACGGATCCGTATGCTCTAGTGGGAACAGGGCTTAACGGTAGACATCGACTATATTTATAACGTTACGACCGTTCGTAACATTATAACAAATCATTTTTATAGCAAAAAAAAATACCGATGTGCCAACTCGCTACTTTAATTACGATCACCCGGTATAACGTAATTCATTTTCTTACATTTATTATTCGAAAAGAAAGGAAAATACACAAAAATAATAGCAAATTGTAAAAGTTTTCAAAGAAAAATCTACAATTTTAAAAAAAATATTACAAATAATTTTAAACATCGTCCTAGACTACAGGTCATTAACCTTTGCATCTAAAGGACACCTTCCTAATTTAAGATACTGCAGATTTCCGTGCTTTCTCGACGTACAGTACCTGTATTAATATTATATTACTGGTGTTTATATCATTATACCAAGATACCAAAACTATAACAGCCATTATCAAGTAATAAAATAAAACCTATAAATACACTACATTAGGATTTATCGTTTATTTTTTATTCTTAATTGTTATAAAAGAAGGCAGTAACACTAAATTGCTAATGTAGTTACTGTGTTTTACTGCTTATAACACATTTCTAATCTGACAGAAATTATACAAAGATTGTGAATCAAATACTTTACATTCTTACTTTAAAACGTTTGAAATAAATTTAAATACTTGAATAATTTAAAATAATGTCATAAATATTCCAAGGATATTAATGAAATTATATAAATAACTCGAAATTAGTTATTTATAGTAATTCTCTAAATTATTACTCAAGTGAAAGTAAGTAACATTACATATTTTAATATGCCGCAATTATTAAATTAAACAATTTAAATATCAAAAGAAAAAAATAGTTATTGATTTTCAATTAGGGATGGAAATAAGTTAACATTGGCTTTAATTATTAATAACATGGACATTATACTCAAATTACTGGCATAAGATTCGTTACTTACGAAGCGAAAGTTAAGTTAATTAAGCGATAATTTGAATATGCTGCTAGGAATTAAAAGTAGCACTGCATTAACTGTAATTGTTAAAGAGGCAATTCTTTCACTTATACGATGTTTCTGTAATTGTTAAATGTCTTAAGGAAAACTTTATTGCTTAATGTATCATAAATCCAGAGAATCCTACAGATTCTTTGCTACACTTTGCGGTTTTTACACATTAATCAGTGCAGTTTCTGGATATTTTGAGTATTAAAAAATATATAGGCCTATATATATGAGATTTAAGGTTAAATCTACGCTAATCTTATCAAAAATAATTTATTTATATATTTAAAATTTTAAAAAATAAAACGGACGAATAGAATTATATAATTTCGAAATTACCAGATGTTAAGTAAAATACATTTTACTAGAATATTTCAGCACGTAAAAGTGAAATTAAAGAACAAAGTTTCAAATATGCCAATTAACTGTACATTATTTTCGACAGAAACATTTAACATCACTTTAAATGAGTTACTTCTTTCATACAGCTTACAGAAACTTTAACATAAATTAAATTTAGGTCTTTAAAATTGAGAAGAATAGGATTAGTTCCGAATAATCAAAAGATGAATAGCGTTAACAATGACTTCGCATACACAATGATTACTCACTAATCCAGAAAATAATTTAATAATTGATTATGATATTAGCTCTCGTTATTTTAAATATAATAATGAAATTTTGAAGATAATAAAACTGTACTTATTATCGTATAAATTAAATTTATATTAAAGTTTCAGTGTAATATTTATTAGAATTTTATACTTTATAGTATAAATTTATTTATCTTATTATGAAATATTCATAATTTCTTAGTAAAAATATAGTTTGTGACAGGCCCTTTCACATGTACAGTACAATACAATACAAACCTTTATGACAAGGTCTTTCACGTGTGACGAGAGATCTGAATCATTTTTAAGGCATCTATCATTTTAAAAAATATATATGATATTCACTGAATTACTGCAACAATGATATAGTGCAAAATAGATGCACCACTATGCCATTATTGCGACAGGTAGCACATAGCATTTTGCCTGTGTGGAGTGTGGTAGTGTTTTGTCCCTGTACATCATACTTTTCTTGTTAGCAATAGAGTTGTGCTAGTTATGTATCTAATTCCATTCAGGGGAAAATTTTTGAATTGAAATAATGTGACTTATAGTACAAATTGGAAGTTTATATATAGTTAATCTGGTCCTCTTTCCCTTACAATTTCCATGTCTTGACATTCATCTATCTAACTTCATTCTTGAGATTAAGGAAGAACAGAGACAAATGGACGACATTGGGAATTTATAGGTCTATAATTTTTTAAAATTGCAGCTCAGTAATTTTTCTATAAATGCAATATTAATGAGAACATACTTATCATGTAGTTTATATAATCTGTTGTCAAAATTTAAACACTTTTGTTAGTCTTAACATCGATGAAAATTCAACACGAAGTAGGTTAATAGCGATATACTAATATACTAATTACATGGGATATACTAATATACTATACTATTAATGTATTTTTTTCATTCTTTTTGGTTATCCGATTTTTTCAGTTATCCGACCAACCCGAGTCCCCAATTGAGTCGGATAATTGATGCTCTACTGTATTTGATTTATAAAACTGCAAAGGTTATCTTATGNTATAATAGTTATAACATAAACAACTCCATTTTAAATAAAATATAAAATCCAAAATATTCTAAAAGTCAAGTGATAATATAATCAAACTTGAGTATCCTCGGCATATTGGGCAAGGCATCTTCATCACTAAATGTGTTAGGAATACCAAAGATGTTTGCATTTTGAATATTTCTTTTGTAATGTTACAGACTTATATTACATTGCTCGCTTAATTAAAATTTAAATAAATATTGAATTATATTAAAAAATCTATAAATATCAACAAACAGAAAACTTCTTACAAATAAAAAACTGAAAAATGTGTCATTTATCTAATGCTTTTATTAAGCATAGCAAAATGACTCATCTTCAGTAAAGCTAAAGTAAAATTCTGCTGTTATTATCATATATCCAAGCTCAAATGTTTGTACAACAGATTATGCCTTTACTTCAATACCATAAAATTGTTTTTTGCAACTTTTTAAGTTATGATAATCAACAAACAAATAAGGACTAATAATACATATAAAGACATTAAAAAAATCTAAATTGATCCAATCAGTCCAATCATGTTCAACTATTTAAAATATTTATATAAATTAAAATTCATAAGCAATTATTTTTTCACTAAAAGCAATACATCATTAAAAAATATGGAAAGTAAAATGTTTTATAAAATACTATTAACTATTGATTGTAAATAGGTCTTAATTATAATTACTTTAATATAAAAGTATTTATTTCTGTAAAATAAAAAACTTTTCATTATAATTAAAAATGCTTACATTGTGATTAGCAAGTGATCCAGCTAATAATTGTACTTCTGGTGTATATTGATTAATAGATGCTTCTTCATATTTCATTGACCATTCACCAATGCTAGATTCCCAAGAATCTTGTGCTTCTTCATCCGCAGTTGATGTACTTTCACTTTTTGTCTGTAAACAATACTTGCTTTTATTGTCATGTAACTGGTGATTATACAAAGGAAAAAACCAGCAACAAAATATTTTTAAAATGATAAATAAATAATGTTATTAATTTTAGAAATTATGTTAATTTTCATTAGGGACAGCCTTGAAAACCGCCCCATTATCACCATTATTTTTTGTGTTCAACTTAGACCAATTAAACTTACAATAAAGTTCTGTTTCAGAACTCATCGCAAGTTTATGGACTACTTGTATGTGTTTAAACAAATATTTGCTCTATGTCATTAAACAAACAATTGTTTTGTACAGTGCCTTCTGTGTATATGTTATGTGTCGGCTTATCTAATTATACCTAAAGATTTTCTAATTTAACTGGTATATTCTATTTTAGCCTTCTAAAACTTTCTGAAACATTATCATCATTTAAAACTCATGGATTTGAAATCTGATGCAAAATACAATAAATATAGCATTTATGCAATCATGCTTTTGATTTCCTTTAGTATCATTAAAAAAATTATAAATCATAACAATTTCATTCTTTAAATTAGTATGATAGCAATACTATATATTCATTTGTTATAAGTTTCAATCTAAATTTACAATTTAATAATAATAATAATAATAATAACAACTTTCCTATGGTCACCACCTGGTTGTGGTGGGAGAGCCCAATAATTTTACTTATCCATAGGGCAATGCAGGCTGGAGCACAAGCTCCTGGTAGGGACACCCATGCCAGTAAGGTCTATGGGGAGAAGTGAAGCTAAGAGTGACCACACCCACATTCTGTGGAGATATTTATCATGGTAGTAACCACAACTAAGTGTGATACCGGATCAGACATCGCCCGGATTAACAAGGTCCGTGTTCATGAGTTAGGCAGACAATCACGTTTGAAAAATAGGCCACAGTCTCCCTTGATTACCAGTAGCAAAAGCAGTGCCGGCCCAAGCATGGCCACTGCAATGCCCTCAACAGATGTGAGGAACCAGCCTAGCCTTTGTGTTCCTGTGGCAATGCACCCACAGACCACAAAGGCTGGAAAACCATGCCAACAGATGAAATGGACAATAGAAATGAATGAGTTTATCATCTGTACTTACTACATCACCACAAGACTTGAAACAGACATGACAGCATACAGACAAGAACTATGCCATAGATTCACACAACAATATCCTCACCTCACTGTCACCAAACAAAGGGCTGTCGATCAAAAAAGAACAATTATACACAACCTTATCCCACAAACAACACCTGAACTTATCAAACAACAGGTTGCTGATCAAATACATCAACAGATAGAAACATTTAACATTAATGAAGATCACATAACCTGTCAGGATAATCCAGCAACAAGCATTGATAATAGCACACATACAACAACTACCACTAATGATATTAGACACTCCTTCATCCACCGCTGATAACATAGGCATAGATTTAGTTAATACACTCTTACTTATATTTCAGGAAACACTCAATAAATATACAGGCACAGATCCCACACAAAGACAATATGTAATATCACACCAAATACCAAAAATCAACACGTCAAAGGAAGTAGGAAAAACACTAGATTATGTAAACACTCACTTACTACCAAACTGCATTCATTCAATTTCTACACTCTCAAACATTCATACATTAGTTTATGCTGGGCCAGTCACAGTAGTAACACACCATGGACTGAAAATACACTTGCAGACAGATACACACAAAACACAATTCTATCACAAGCCTGCCTGGCAGAGAAGAATAGAAACACAAATAAATGACATTAGACAGCAATTAGGCAGGCTGACACAATACACTAAAAACAACATAACACCCAAATTAAAGAAACAACTCTAAAACATTTTCAAGAAAATCAAAACACACACAAAACATGATCATCACAACACACACATTACAGAATACACTGATACACTAAAACAAAAACTTGCAGCAAAAGCACATAGACACAAACGATACAAAACATGTACACTATGAAAACAACAACAAAAATTATTTACAAACAATGAAATACTCTTTTACAGACAAACTGGTAACAAAACCAACAATGATACACAGCAGAGTGGCACACCAACAAAAGAAGAAATCATAACATACAGTAGAGCCTCGATTATTCGAACCTCCGATTAACCGCCACCTCGGTTAACCGATCGTCCTAGTCGGCAAATTTCAAATGTCCGCTAGTGATGTGGCGCTACAATATTTGGCTATGTCTCGGCTACTTTAATATTATTTTTACGTGTTTTAGCTGGCAACATTCATTCGACCATGAAAGGGAGCCAGTATTTAAACGAGGCTTAATTTTCTAATTTTTAACGATACAATAGCGACGATTATTATTTTAAAAATTTTTGTTAGGCTTAACATCAATGAAAATTCAATGCGAAGTAGGGTAATAGCGATATACTAATATACTAATTACATGGGATATAATAATATACTACACTAATAATAAATTTTTTCATACTTTTCGGTTATCCGACTTTTCAATTATCCGACCAACCCCAGTCCCCAATTGGGTCGGATAATCAAGGCTCTACTGTCTTCTCTTTGATCCAGTGCTGTCACACAATGCAGATGCAGGCTAAATCAAGTAGGAGAACAAAAAGTTGCAAAACATACCAACTATGCTCTGTGATGAAATAAACATACACGACATCTGCTACGCTGTTAATTAACAGAACACAAAACTGAAAAACACCTGGTGTAGACAACATTCACAATTTCTGGTACAAAAAATTTACATCACTGCACCAAGAACTAGCTAAACATCTAACACACATCATCATCAATCCACAAGACATGCCAAAATTTCTTACTCAGGGCATCACCTACATCAAACCTAAAAACAACAACACTACAGACCCCACACAATACAGACCAATTACATGTCTTCCAACACTACAAATTATTGACATCCTGTATCACAAACAAAATATACAAACATGTTGAAGAACACAACATTCTCATGGAACAACAAAAAGGTTGCCATAAAAATCACAGGGGATGCAAAGAACAGTTACTCATAGATTCAGTCATTCTATAGCAAGCACACAAACAACACAGAAACATACACATGGCGTATATAGACTACAGAAAAGCATTCAACAGTGTTCCACACAGTTGACTGCTACTTATTCTACACATGTACAAAATACATCCATCACTCATTGCATTCTTCGAAAACACTATGCAGCACTGGAGAACGACACTACATCTCAGGGTTCATAACACTTCCATACAAACAAACCAAATATTTATTAGGTGAGGAATTTTTCAAGGAGATTCCTTGAGTCCTCTCTGGTTCTGCCTAGCCTCGAACCCATTATCCAACATGTTAAACAACACACAACATGGCTACAATATCAGACATGAAAAAACAACACAGTTTATGCTGTCACATCTCATGTACATGGACGACATAACACTTTATGCATCCACACAAGAACAACTTCAACTCCTACAAATCACACATTCATACACCAAGGACATACAAATGGAGTTTGGCCTAGACAAATGCAAAAACTTCACATAGAAAAAGGAATCCTGAAGAAAGATTTTGCACTTGAAAATGGAGAAGTTATTAAATCCATGGAAGAGGGCGAGTTCTACAAGTATTTAGGATTCCAACAGGCCAAACTAACAGAACATACACAAATAAAGCAAAGATTAATTAAAGAATACCAAAGTAGGTTAAATGCTATTCTGAACACAGTTAAATGCAAATCATACAGTTAAAGCAATAAACACATATGTCATCCCAGTACTCACATATTTTTTTGGAGTTATACATTGGGCTCACACAGATGTTGAGCAACTCCAAAGGAAAACAAGAACAACACTTACTAAGAGTAAACATCATCATCCTAAATCCGCCATAGAAAGATTAACCCTTTCACATAAAGATGGCAGACGTGGCCTGATTGACATAGTTAACCTTCAATACAAACAAATACAGTCTCTACAAGAGTTTTTCTATAAAAACAAGAAACATCACAGTTACATAAAGCAGTAACTCTAACAGACTCAAATAACACATCATTAAACTTACACTCACATCATACAGACATGACAAACATATAAAAAGCATAGGCATGATCAAGCAATCATGGGCTCAAAAGGCACTCCATGGCAGGCATCCTTATGACCTGGCCCAGGATTTTGTTGACAAAACTGCGTCAAACAGCTGGTTAGATAGGGGATGCCTCTTTGGAGAGACAGAAGGATTCATGATTGCCATACAGGATCAGGTCATAAATACTAAAAAATACAGAAAACACATACTCAAAGATACAACATTCATGAATAACACATGCAGAAAATGTCACATCACGCCAGAAACTATACAACACATTACATCTGGTTGCAAGCTCTTGGCACAGACAGATGATTTACACAGACATAATCAAATAGCAAATATAATACATCAAGAGCTTGCAAACAAACACAAATTATTAGACATCCACGAATCACACTATAAATACATTCCACAGACAGTATTGGAAAACAACACGCACAAAATGTACTACGAAAGAGCCATAATCACAGATAAAACAATTTACCACAACAGAGCAGACATCACACTCATTGACAAACACAATAAAATCACAATGCATTATAAATATATCCATTCCAAACACTCACAATATACATAACACATGAACTGAAAACATTAGCAAGTACACAGAACTTGCACAGGAAATAAGGTATTTGTGGAGGATGGATAGTGTGCTTATTGTACCTGTTATTCCCTCCTCTACAGGTGTGATACCACATACATTACACAAAAAGCCTGGGAACATTACAATTGAATAGAAATACATACATCATACTACAGAAGGCCACTATATTGAATGCATGCCATGTTGTTAGGAAATTCCTGAATACAGACACTGACACACTTATTTAATTTTAGTTTTGTTTTGGNTTCTTAATACATAAGAAATGAAATGCATACTGTAACAAATGCTCTTGAGGCGAGTCGTAACTGTGAGGTCAAGCCAAATACTTATTATTTTTAATCTCAAACTATATTTTGTTGTAGTTATTTGTTGAGTCTCTAAGTTATTAACCGTATAAGAGGCCCTTCTCTTCTATCGAATAATAATGAATTTGAAAACATGAGGCCTTAGTCGTAGCTTGTTTAGATTACATGTAAATCCTCTCTAATATCTTTATCTAATGCATGTGTAATATAGACAAGAGGACGTTTCTGCCCATGGTAGCAAATAATAATTGTAAAATTCTATAAATTCTCATCAAACTTCCTTATGTTTTAAAATAAAATTACATAAAAATGATTAAAATTTTAGTTTTGTTTCCACATTTATATAATTCGGAATTTATTTTAATACGCTAATTGTTTTTCCCTCATCATTTATATTTAATAATTGTTGGTTCACAATGCAGCAAAGTAAACAAATAAAAACAATAACTTAAAGCTTTTGTTCATGCGATATCTTTTATTTACCATCGGAAAGCTGTACAATTTGCTTATCGTAGCAATTAATTTACAATCAGCTGAAATGAAACTGTGCAGGTTTTGTAATATACAAAATATCTAATTATTTTTAAATGTTATCTATGAATATAAAAAATATATATATAATTATATAAACACAACAAAAATTTTGTTTGACTGAGAAGCTGGAAATGATCCGTTCAATAATCAACAACATTATTAAATGTGCTTAGTTAATTTATTGTTTTTTCGTGCAGAATTTTTCAAATTAAATTGCAGTAAGTGTCGTTAAAAAGTAAATAAGTAAATATAAAGAGAAAACGTAAAAATAAAATTAAAAAATACAAATTCACGCACTCAATACATATCACAGGAGAGTTAGCAAAGTTACAGTTATTTGGCCCTGGCCTAATATTTTAAGAATTCTCAAAAACATTTGCTATAATTTATTCATATCATTGCATTTCTTGTTTATTAATTAATGAAAACATTTTTATTTTTTGTCAAATTTTATTATTTAAGTATATAATATAATTTTACACTTGCTTTGTTTTTTTTTAATACTCTATACGAGACCTCCAAAAAGTAAATGTCTCTTTTGATCTCTGAGAGGCTCTGCATATCTTTTAATTACAATTAAAAACAAATTTCAATATCTAAATTAGGTTTTAGTTTTAAAAAATAATTTGTTTTACTAATTTTTCATAGCTTATTCAACGAGTGAAATTACCCATTACTATTTTTAGATTTCCAGATAGAGAAACCTAAAACTGGATATAAGTCAGTTTTATGTTCCCTTAAAAGTAGATATTCTTAATTTTCACATAAAACTATATTTTTAAAACTTCAAATTTATATAAGTAAAGCAGACAAAATAATAAAATAAAATAAATTATCTCCTTCAAGTAATATATTTCATATAAAAAAAAATATCGGTTTGAAATAATGGAATAATATATCTAACAGGAAATGATAAATTGAATTTTTTCTATCAAATATATCAAAGCGAAAAGTGTAAATCAAGGAATATATATATATATATATATATATGTTTTTTTTAAATTTAATACATAAATGTCAAATTCTTTCTTGAATGCCAACAATAGTTGTCTAAACGACAAACGATAGCAGGCAACCTGCATATATTCAGATGCATGTGGTGAAGATAGATTTAAGGATCTGAGAAGGTTAGAAGCAAATGTTTAACCTTCTCACAAATCAATTCTGATTTTCCATTGCATTGTGTCACGAAATATATCTCTAGATTTTACGAAGCAACTATCTTAAACACATTCCGATGAAACATACTCAAAATAGTGCCACGTATCAAGTCAAACATCTAAGCATGGTGACTTATTAGGGTATGTAGTATTTTTATTTTTTATTAAAAGAAATATAGTGTTTTATTAAATATGAAATATTTATTTAATGTTTATCTACTTAGTTTTATAGAATTTTTACATAAAAAAANATTAAATAAAGTACATACCATTCCATGTATGAAAGATCAAAAGGAATTGTAATTTCCTCATCTTTCTCTATATCTTTTGAAGAAAATAAGTAAATGTATAAAAGTCCATTATTAACCACTGGTCTTATCTAGAATATTAAAATAATTTACTTTGGTTATATAAATGAATCAACACTATTAACAATTTCAAATTGAAAATTATTATTAAATTGATACCTCAGCATTAGGAGTACAAGATCTTCTTACATATCTAGCTTCATTGCCATATTCTCGAGCATCAATACATATATCACTGTGCTTATCAATTTTGAAAAACAATACAAATGGATATGATCTAAAAACAAAAATCAATACAAATTTTTAATATAAAAAAGAAAAATTTTAAGAGATAATTTACTTTTATATTTTTATTACAATAATACTTCTATGAAATTTAAATGAATCAATTATTAAAAATTTTTTAACCTATAAATTATTGTTGTTAATTTACATTTAATTCTAATTAATAATTTATAAAATATTTTTAATATATCAATCAAAAAATAAAATAAAATATACATATGTACTTTAAACATATAAGAAATATGGGCTTCATCATTCTCCTTCTACCATAACATCACATAGCAGAGTTTACCATTAATTTGAAGCTCTTCTCAGCCTCGGTAGGTCAAATTGTCTTTTCAGACAATTGAGACAGAGAAGATTTGATGTCTAAGAGCTCAAACAGTGTTGGAAAAATATATATATAGAACTAACTGCAATTGATACAAATATCTTCAAAAATATATTAAATTTTATTGTACAAATTTTGATTCTAAATTCTTTTCCATTTTGATTTCTATAGAATATTTGTTTTTGATTTATATGCTCATAAAAGACATATTGAATATTTTGTAATATTATGAGTACATGCTTCAAAAATTCAATTTCACAAATGATAGACAATTTCTGTAATAAAAATTGAATTATTAAGAATTTTAGAATAATTACCTTTTATTAAATACAGGATTTTGTTCAAAGAACTGTGATGATGATAAAAATTTTCCTTTATATTCAACAATAACTTGATCACATGTTATATCTGATGTTGCTACCAATCTTTTCTTGTTGGAAAAATCAACAACCTTGCATAGTCGAGTCCGAAGCTGTTCTAAAATCTTTTTCACTGTCTCATTCTATTAAATACAGAATAATTGTTTTGAACTTTAAATAAATTTTAAATTATTTGAATTTAATCAAAAGTTTTAGTAAAGGTTATCACTAAATGCCAAATTAATTTCAGGCTATAGTTTGGCTAACTATTATCAATCTGAAGCAATCTGGTCTAAAAATAGAGAGTTAGGCTACCATCTTGTACTAATCTTATTAATTATTTATGTATTCTGTAAGAAAAGATCTCCATCTGATATTTGAATGGAGATCCAGACAGATAATCTGCTAACTATGCAGATGTATTATCAGAAGTTGTAGATTCAAATCTTGTTCCAGGTCAACTTTTTCTTTCAGAATATTATAAATTACTTATATTAAGTTTGCATTAAATTTAATATTAAAATTAGAACAAGACAGTGGCCTAACCACCTACCTTTAGACTAAATTACCTTCACTGAAAATACTGGCTTGGTTGTTCAAATAAAATTATTCATGAAATCTAACATCAAAAATAAATATTTAAAGGATAACTCACAATTTCTCAAATGAGTATTTATTAATATTCAATCACCTCTCATTTAATGAGCATAGTTAATTTTTGTAATTTCACTATTGACTGAATACATTACTAATAATATATGTCAAATTTGTGACATTGTTTGTATAAGAATATACCCAATGATAGTTAAAGCATAGCAGAAGCTGTGTATTATTTATTGTGCACAATGATAAATAATTGAATATTAATATCAAGGAATATCTCTCATACTTAAAGTACAGTAAATTAACATCTCTGTTTTATAGAATTTTTACATTTTTAACTCAGATGTTATAGATATTGTGCACAATGATAAATAATTGAATATTAATATCAAGGAATATCTCTCATACTTAAAGTACAGTAAATTAACATCTTAGTTTTATAGAATTTTTACATTAAAAAAATCTGCTAAACAATTCTCATATGATTTTTAGATCTTCTGGATAGCCTGCATTATGAAAATGAACGTGCTTCCTCTATCAGTTCATCATCTGATCGACTGTAACTCGAACCTAGAGCAGAGTTCCGCATACATTAACCAGATATAACAATAAAAAACTAGTACAAAAATTCACTAAAACGTATTCATAATTAAAAGATAAATGTCCTAGTCTAAAGTCAAGCAACTAATTAATCTTTTGTAGTGTTTTCCCCCTTAAAATTTCTAAAAATACCCCATTGGTATCAGTCTAATTTAAGAAGTATAACTTGCGTAACAGTAAAAATTAAAGCGAAAATTTTATTTGCCTTCTAATTACGAGTGCCTTTTAGATATTTTTGGTTTGGGTACCATCACAATTGCTAATTTTGTTGCATTCACTAACAAACACATTCTATTAGCAATTAACGAGACTGAATTAATGTCAACATATCATCTACTCTATCAAATGGTAGAATACTATGAACCAGTTTTGCAGTGAAATTAATCTTATATGCAGTATATACACACACATACACACCTATATATTATATTTTAACTACTGTTTGATAGATTGATGAAATATGACTTGTAAATTATTCATTCGTCTTTGATGTCATCTTTGTATTCGGACGAGTTAAAATATTCGGATCGATATGAGTCGAGAGAATGCAAGTGCTTCTAATTAGAGCCAGACTTACGTATAAACTAAATGAGCTACTATTAGGGAGTCGCATTTTAGGGTTTCATTTTTAAAATTTATTATTATTTGGTGGTAGTAAAAGAACCTCTTATACAGTTTGTTACAAGGCCTGATTTGCACAGAAGCGAAACAAACTACAAGTTAGGGCCTGGAATCATAAGTCTATTAGCTTAGGCCCTCACATTTTTATATGTATCATTTGATAGATGAGAAAGGCTTGTTATATATTACGCTTACAGCCACACCAGGTCTAAGACTTGTTCTGAGCCTAAGCCAGCGGTGCCCTCGGGCTATAAAAAAGTGAACACAAGCTATAAAAAAGGGCATCATATATACATTATGCAACATTTACAGGTAACCCTTGATTAACGCAGTTAATTAATCCCTCGATGCTAGTAGTATATGAGAGGCCTTTCTTTCTCCATTATATAATTATTAATTTTAAAATATGAGGCCCTAAATTGTGCTTTCTGGTATGAGACCCTAAATTGTGCTTTTTTTAATGTGAGGCCCTAAGCTATGCTTTTTAGTGTGAAGGTCTAAACTGTAGCTTGTTTAGCTTATGTATAAATCCGACCCTGAGTGTATTAGTTTTTCTTTGTAATCGATAAGAAAATAAATATCTGATAAATATTCTATTCAGTCTCAACATGCGGGTCATATGTTAATTTTTTATCAGAATGGCTTAGTATTGAAGAAAATCTTCAAATATTTTTCTAACGTGAGGTTTATTGATTTGTTTATTGAATAAAACAAAATTACACACACACACATATATATATATTAAATCTACTGTAAAGAAAGAAGATAGAAATAAATTATGTCTGACAAATACGTGTTGATTAATTAAGGATATAATTTAACGAGAAAAGCTAAGTCTGAGGATTATAATACTATTGCTAATTAGCATTATTATCAAATACGCTGATTAATTACTGATTAAAAATTTAATTATTTTCAAATGTTAATGGCTATTCTTATGTAAATTTATAATCGCAACTGTGATGTACATCGGAAATGTTTCTAGACAGATTTTTTTAAAAAAATAAGTTAATTTTATAGTCTTATTTTGAATTAAAAGATATTTAATTTGCTAGAATTCAAATTTTGTTTATTTCATTCCTTTGTGTATATCAGGTGTATACAGTTGACCCCCCCTATAACACTGTTGATTATTCCGTTTTATATGAATTCCATGTTGTACGAGTCACTTAGATTTTACAAATACGTGTGCCGGGCTATGAACGGCTCACGTATTTGTAAAATCTAAGTGACTCGTACAACATGGAATTCATATAAAACGGAATAATCAACAGTGTTATAGGGGGGGTCAACTGTATACACCTGATATACACAAAGGAATGAAATAAACAAAATTTGAATTCTAGCAAATTAAATATCTTTTAATTCAAAATAAGACTATAAAATTAACTTATTTTTTTAAAAAAATCTGTCTAGAAACATTTCCGATGTACATCACAGTTGCGATTATAAATTTACATAAGAATAGCCATTAACATTTGAAAATAATTAAATTTTTAATCAGTAATTAATCAGCGTATTTGATAATAATGCTAATTAGCAATAGTATTATAATCCTCAGACTTAGCTTTTCTCGTTAAATTATATCCTTAATTAATCAACACGTATTTGTCAGACATAATTTATTTCTATCTTCTTTCTTTACAGTAGATTTAATATATATATATGTGTGTGTGTGTNCTCACTAGCATTTCTTATGTATCAATATGAAACACGTAGTGGGATGAATAACGTTAAACAAATGTTTTTGAGGCCTTGTAAATATGTACTGTACGTGAAGTACGGGATAAAAAGCCCTGCTGGCATTTCCCAAGATATGTTCTGCTGGACCAAGAATATCAACTATTAAGAATACATTTGTGCGTGAATAAGATGGCTAAAAATGCGAGGCTCTAGGCTTTTGCCTATTCCTGAAACTGACAACAAATAAAGGTCCTTCGAGAGGGGAGCTAGGGATTTTTCCCTGGGCTGGGAGAAAACTTATGGGCTCGTAGTGATTCCTATTCATATAAAATTAATGTTATTTTATTAACAGAAAATAAATTATTTAAGACTGCTTTTTATTAATAAAGAAACATTCTCTGTACTTAATTTTTTCTTCAAAAATTAAAATAACGACTAAAGGGGCCCACTTTATCCCGGGCTCCATACAAGCTCTCGACAGCCATACCAGTATAACATACATATAAAAGATAATTTATAATATATAATTAACAATATATTTTGAAAAACGGAAATTTCAAATAATATATGATTAAAATATTATTTTAAAATAAGCAGAGATTTAATAATTGTTTTCCATATTATTCCCACATTTACATCTAAATATTTACTAACTTTTCAGTTATTTGTTACAGAATTAGTAATTGAAAATTAACTATCATGCAAATTTAATTCTTGCATTTCCATTTCTATCCTGCTTGCATTTTAATTACTTTGGTTTTCCATTATATATTTCAATTATTTATTCTTTTAACAGTCAAAAACTTAATTATGTTTTTGTCTTTATTTTCTTAATTAAAGAAGGTTTAAATAGTTTTAGATATTAAAGTAAAATTTATAATACAAAACTTTGATCCAGTTTGACATTTTATCGTTAAATCTTATAGAATTTTGGAATTAAAGCGCGTTATAACTTTATAAAATTAACAAATTTAAAGTAAACGAAATACAGTAGCCCCTCGTTATATTCAGGCCCTATCATAGAAAAAACCAGCATGACCTTTCGCCGGGCTTCTCATTTTTGGGGTCTCAAAAACATTTATTACAATTTATTTATTCCATTAAATTTCTCGTGTATTAAAACGATTTTTAATAGTGTCCTATTCTTTTATTCCATATTAGATTTAAAAGAGCGAATGTCTCGTGCCTCTCTTGATCTCTAAGAGGCCCTAATTCAATTTAATAACAACATACAAAATTAAACGATAATTTTTGTATTTCTAGATTTCCATCAGTAATTATGCATTTTTTTTTACATATGTTTTCTCCAATTTTTTAAGCTATTTCATTTAATTTACTTCCTTTCTATATTTCCTGAAATGCGTTTGGAGGCCCTAAATTGTGCTTTCTGGTATGAGACCCTAAATTGTGCTTTTTTTAATGTGAGGCCCTAAGCTATGCTTTTTAGTGTGAAGGTCTAAACTGTAGNACGGGTACTTCTGTGGTTGTGTTAATGGATTAGATAGACTCAAAAATTTAAAAAATTTTTCGTACATAGTCTGAACTTTCTAATTGGAAGAATATATCCTGAGTCCACCATGAAATTGTCTATAAATAAATTTTAGTTGTTAATATAATACAGAAAAAACTAATCTAAATTTACGAATTCATGTATGTACAGTACATACTTGTAAATGTACATGTTTGCAATTTGGCGATGTTTACAATACATCGCAGACTCTTTATTTGTGAATGTGGTTTGCTCTAGCCATTATAAAATAAGATGATTTTGTAAGGTTAAATAACAAATACAGTTATTAAAATTATCTTGCGACAGTAGAGTATTGGAGCTACCGTGAAAAACACCAATATTGAGCACTTAAAGACCGGTAAATAAGATGACAACACAGAAAAACAGATGTTTTCATGTTTCGTTCTCTAGGATTTATGATGATTATATTAACATTTACTGTAAATGTATATATTTTAATATGATTTTATGTGCTTTACCGCTTTTATGGTGATATTACGATTTCAATATTTGTGGCGAACGAACATAAAGTCGAATAAAATGACTTAAACTTGATCTTTATTTTCCCACATATTTTTTGACAAATGATGTATAATCGAGAACGACATAACTCGAGGTATACCTGTACATTATAAAACTATTCTTATTTCTTTACTGGAACTGCTAAATATATCCTTTAACAAACATAAATAACCTAAATCATTTTTATTATGAGAGTTTAAAGTGTTTATGATGCTGTGGTATCTGCTATTAGTGAAAAGAGAAATCTTTTGTTAAAAGATTTATTTAAAATAGTAGAATATGCCATATATTGTAAATGTAGGTTTTTAAAACTGGTTTTAAATGTATAGATGCCATTTCTAATGGAAATATAGTAGCAAATGGTGATTAGTTTTGAAATAGTTTTATTATTTGTAAACCTGGAGAATGTCGTGTTGATCAAACTGAATCCGAAGATAAATTGACCAAATAAATGGCAAAGTTATATAGTAGTTATGATTTTGTTTATTATAATAAAAATTAAAATATAATGAAAATTATTTTAACTATGAAACTTACTTTTCTTCTTATTCCTGTTTTCGTTCTCTCAACTCTTTCCTTATTTCCCTATTTTGTGAAGGAACCGATTTAATCATTAATCATCTTTTTTATAACAATCAACTTTTTTCAATTAATGAGGTAACTTGCAATACATACATATTTTTTTTGTTTATTAAAAAATATCATTAATATTAGAACGAAAACTCTTAATATTTTTGAACATATTACTTTTAATTACAGATAACATCATCATTTAATAAAACAATATTGGATTCAGAGATTAGGAGGGAAGAGACAAAAGAAAAGAATCATAGTGAAAATAAAAACGCTTTGACTAAATGTAACATCATATAATGCTATTAGTAACTATAAATGAAATTATATATGCTTATAATTTGAATTTATTTTACTTTTCTACACAAATAGAGAAAATTATTATTCAAATTCAAAAATTAAAATCACCTACCTTTAAAGTTTTATATTTTTTTATTAAGCCTCCAGAATCAGCTTTATTTCCACCTCTTCTATCTTTTCTTCTTTTCCTTAACTTCGAAATTTTATCACTCTGTGTTGTACCAGTCTGAACAGAAGAATGAGATACTGAATTTTCATCATCTCCACTATCATCAGTTGTGGAATCTAAAAATACAAATTTTTTTGAAAATCATATTATATTTATTGATATTGAAATTCAAATATTTAAATACAAGATATGATTATGTTATAATTCATGTATATCATAATAATCTATAAAGTGCCAAATGTCTTTATTCTGTTTACAATCACAAATACTATGTACATCATGTGTTGTATGATTACAATTTTCACAGAAATACTCTTTAGTTACATGAATAACATCAATTTAATATCATCATTAAATCATCAAACTTTGTATGATCAGTTACTTTTGTTAGTATCGTTAATATAATATGATATAAGCAAATGTTTGAAAGAAAATTTGTAAGAAAATAGATTTGTAAGAAAATTTTTATCCTCAAGATTTGTGATTTTATTTTATCTAGATAAAATCTATAACATAGTCAGTATGTAGATATCTTGTTATCAGGTTTTATAACATACATTTCAAATATTTGCTTATATTTTAAGACTGTTTTATTTAGTACAGCTTCCCACATCAAACCTCAATAACTTAATAATAATAGCAATAGCTTAGTAGTCTTTCTATTTAATAACTCTCAATTAGTTCCATTTGTAATGAAACCAACAAAATGTTGAGACAGATATTAAGTTTACAAAGTATCAAGAGAAAAAAAGACTACTGTACATAACATATTTATAGATTTAAACTTTCTTACATGATAGCACATTATACAAAACTTTACGGTAAAAATTAAAAAAAAAAACTTTATCAGATGCATAAATCACATTAAACTTATAGAAATAGTTAAATAAATAAAACTCATGCCAAAATTGTATAGCTTCTTGATAACAAGCACTGAGTTCAGCGTTAACATGATTTTCTTATATCACAAGTACTTTCGACTTGCGATATAAGAAAATCGTGTTAATGCTGAACTCAGTGCTTGTTATCAAGAAGCCACATTAAACTTATTTTAAAAAATGGTATAGTATGTTAAACCATAATAATAAGCATCCTTTTGTTTTAAAAATATTATTGAAAAACTCTTAGCAGATATGACAAGGTTAAAATCTTAACATTCAGCTGGGATACATTGTATGAAGTACTCTGTTGATCAAGTAAATGTAAAAAATGATGAATATTCTGTACCACTTCTTTGTTTCAACTCATTATTTAAGAATTTTCAATGCTTCTTTTTTATTTGTTAGTAAAAGTAGAATTCTAGATACAAAATAATTATAATGACACAGTGCAACACAAAATAGTGCTAAAGAGAGGTAAGTGTCATACAAATGAACTCTTTAAAATTAATCTAAGTATCAAAACACTTACCAGTCATGGCTTCCTTTTTGCGTGTCTGCAATGCTTTAGCTTTTTGTCTATCAACTTTTCTTGGCTCACATTTTTCACACAGATAAGTTTCTGGTATATTATTTTGATTTAAACCCATACAATCAACATGTTGCCATACACTGAAAAACAGATGTAAAGTTTATTTCATTAAATTTCACAATTAATGTCAATAAAATAATTCTATTATTAAACTTTTACACACTAAAAAATGTCAATTAAAATGCCATCAAATAATTTCAAACTGAATAGCAAATGCTTCATTTTAAAATAATGAAAATACAGTATATTAGTCAAATTATAAAATCTTCTCAATCCAAATACACTGATTAAAATGTAAACTTTTGAAGATTCATCATCATCTCCATTCCTGCTGATACCCAGAGTGTGTACAGGTCAACATGGTGAAAAAATCAAACTTTTATACTACCATCCACTACTTTTTCCAAACTCTCCTACCAAGAGACAAGCTTTTAGCCTGGATTAAAGTTAAATTCCTTTCCTCTAAAGCCTGCTTAACACTATCAATGCACCTTCATCTAGGTCATCCCTTTGGTTTTAGCTTTGAATACCTGTTTGGCCAGTCGGTCTTCTCCCATTTTTTCCAAATGGCTAAACTATCTCAGATTAGCCTCACTTACCCTCATCTGAATATTTGTTATCTTAAGGTTTTTTCTTGTCTTCATTTTTAATATGATTTTGTCACTGTATCCATCTATTAACACCACTAATTTTTCTCAAAAACTTTAATTTCTGCTGCTTCTAATTTTTGGTCAATTTCCCTACTTCTCACCCAATTCTCAGAACCATATGTCAATATAAGTTTAAAAACTGTATTGTATGCAGCTAGTTTTGTCTTATGACTTATTTCTTTCTTGTCCCAACATTTGAAGACTGTATTTTTTTAAAATACTATATAATTAGTTAAAACTTTTAAAGTATTAAAATAATTAAATAAAATCAAAAATTTTTAATCATTTGATTTATTTTCACTCTACTTCTATCAGAAGTTAGTTTAATTTCATTACATCATAACATAAATAAAACAAAGAACATAATTAAGTATCATTAAAATTTTTGCAACATATGTCAGCTTGAATTAGAACAAAAACATTAAATTAAAAAAAAAAGCATTGTTCAAGAATGAAAGAAGCTTAATTATTTGAATTATATCAACTACATTAATAATTGATGAAACAAAACTAGCTATAATTCTTTGTGTCACTAACATCAAAAAAAGAAACAATGTTTAAATTATTTAGAATATAGTTAGTTATTAAAGAATTAAGTAAAAATTATTTATAAAAAATTTACAAAAATACTTGATTATATATCACCATCAAAACTCATTACTACAAAAGGACAAGAACATAATACAGGTGTGCTTTCTCTAACCCATGCATTCATTAATGTGGACATTTTGTCTATTAATTTTTATACCTTTTTTACAATTTTGATGAGAATAAAATATGCATTACCACATATTAAATTAGCCAGTTTTGACACTTGCATTCAGTGGGTTTATGCTTACAGGATAACTACTCACTAGATCTTGCTATTATGGCAACTTTATGCAAAAGATTTTGTAGACAAAAACAAAAACCTTATGTATTATTACATAAATTCTTCATTAAAAGTCTGTACCACTGTAACATCACCTTTTTTGTGGCACGCTTTTTGTGTCAAATATATATAAAATACAGTTTACATTTAAAATGTATACTGTATTTGATATATAATAAAAGTTTATACAGGGGGGTGATCAGTTAATGAACAAAATCCATTCCAAGACTTTGTTCACTATCTGAATTGTTCGTTAACCGATTATCAATTTACCATAGGTTTTTATGGAAATTTGATTAATTTGTTCTGGGACTACAAAAAATAAAAAATAAATATTTTCTTACTATGTTTACTTATATGTAATAATAAAAATACATATATACACAGTCTTGAATTTTTATTAGTCATGTTTTTCCATTTATGGGGGTTAAAGAATCTGTCTAATGTCAATTGCTTTTCTCTCTTCTTCAGGATTTTTCAGAAGTAATTAATAGCATTGTAATTGTAGAGATTCCCAAGCTTATTAACCTTAACCTGGTTTGGATGCCATTCTAAGATCATTGTTCTGACATCCTCCCACTTCTTCAAAAGATTTTTAATAGCAGATATTGGTATTAATCCTATTTTTCAGAAGAAAACATATCTTGCTGAGTTTCTTGGTGTTCTTCTGGCATCAGATTTGTTTCAGGTTCCATTATTAGCTCTTCAATGTTCTTTATTTTTCAGATGTGATTTTTGTTACTCCTTTAGCTGCTTGAGTCTTCTCTTAGATAAGATTAAACTGCAGCCTACTGTAGATCTGTTCAAGCCATCCTGCCCAGCAACATCAGACATCATCTGCTCACTCTCTACCTTTGCTATTATATTCTAACCTTTTGAAAATAAAAACAGACACAAAACTTAACAAGTGCCCGCCTGACAGTATCGCGAATACTATAAAAGAATTGCTTCTATCAGAAAAATAAAAGGCTGAAATTACAAGAGAGAGTTTCAAAGTTTGGAGGAATATTATCCGATCAATGTATACCGGGTTGAGCATCGATGTCGACATTTCCCACGCTCCGAAAAGTTTTGAATTGTTGCCTGAAGACAAGAAAAGACGGTTAGAGTAAAAGTAATCCAGCTAAAAAAAGGTCTTAAACTTAATATTAACGAATAGACATAGACATATCTAGATGTAATTTGATACGCTGAATCGATTGGTATTGAAAAAAATTACTTACGATCAACCGTTTAAAAGTTACAAACGATTTTTTATTTCCGGCTATTTACTTCGTTTAAGAACAACTTTATTAAGAAATACGCAGGCACTCATCGATATTAACAAAACGAGTTACTTTAATTCACCATAATACATTCCATCTACGAGAGAAAGCGACATTAAAAATGCTAAAATGGTGTCGTTAGCCAGCGAACACGCGTACACACGACAAGAGCGTAGGGACAACTGACGCAGGGAAATTTTCCCTGACTGGTGGGGAACTGTCGAGCGTGACGTCACTTCCACAATTCCCTACACACACGTGAGCGGTAACAGAAATAGTTGACACGATAATATAATTATTATATATTATTTAANTGTGTATTGTACATAAAATAAAGTTGTTAGTTACTTTTTTTGATTCCTAAAAAGTTGTTGAAGAAGAAATATTGTTTAAATAAAAGTTAAAATTATTGAATGGTGTGATATTTTTGTAACAAAATTCTACATTGAGAATTTTGACGCTCTCTAGTGAGATCTCGCAACTTTCTCGTAAATATTAACAAATTCAATGAAAAATTCTACATCTTCAACAAAATCTTTAATAATCATCTGCTGAAATTACAACAAATGAAAAAAAATGAAATTACTGAAATTTATTCGATATATCAATATGTAAACTTTTACAGAAATAAAATATAACATGATTATTTAAAGAAAGAAAACATTGATGTGTAAAATTTTGGTTTCTGATTTTTAATAATAAAATATCAGAGTTTAAGAACTTTGTAGTTTTGTCAGAACTAGAAGTTGTAAATATCTGTTAAACTAATGACACCTGATTACGAACCAGAAAGACTGAAAATGCTTATGGCAAATAAGTTATCATTTAAAAGATTTTGTGGTTTTTTTGTTCTGTATATTATGTGCAGCCTGCACTTAAACTTATTAATACACTACAATAAACTATGAAAGACAGATTTTAACTTATTCAACCAAGTTATTTCTAACTTTAGCTGATTCAAAATTATGAAGTATGCAATAAATACGATATCATTAAATCGGCTCTATCAGTGGCTGAATGAATAACAACACTGACCACTGATAGCCGTTTCTGGACAATTAGAAAACGTGCCTGTCTAATTGTCCAGAAACAATGTTCTGCCTAATTGTGATATGAATTAAATCAAAATATAAAAAATGACAGTACAATTAACAATGTAGAAGACGAATGACTATTCTCAAATCAAACAATATGAACAAGTACAAAACATTATTGTAATCGAAATGTGCAGAATTTGTTAGTTTTGAATTAACCTTGCTTAAAAAAGTGTCTAGCATTTTCTATAAAAAAAAGTGTTCAAAACACGTCAATTATAAGAGGCACTAGAAATAAAATTCATATTTCCATAAGATGTAGATTTTCGAAGAGCTTATAAATATGCGTCTCATTTTTGTTGTGAACATTATGCTCTATTCAGTGGAAGAAAGTATTTACACATTTCCTGATAGCAACTATTGCTCATTACAGCTCAAAGTTCCATTAATAAAGAAAGCAGCAGAACGTTGGCATGCCTGGAACGCAAACATTTTCGTAATATATTAACCAAAGTTTACTTACTACATTGCTCATAATAAATTTTACGAATTCTATAAAATCATTACAACAAAATCATCCATACATAACGTAATACTATTTTGTATATACAGTACTTTACAATTGTCACTTTTTTTTAATGTTGGTAGCAGAGGGCAGCCATCATCTAGGGTAAAAGCGTTCGTCGCTGTATAAGTGACATAAAATGGACGTAGGAAGGTTCTAATGACGAGTGTGTAGTATATGCATACTGTATAAACTGCTAGATGTGAAACAGTGAGGAAAGAATGCGTATAAAACGCAATTAAAGCTGGAGACCTTTTGCTTAACTTCTGATGGTAGAAGTACAGGGCAGCCATCATCTAGGGTAAAAGCGTTCGTCGCTGTATAAGTGACATAAAATGGACGTAGGAAGGTTCTAATGACGAGTGTGTAGTATATGCATACTGTATAAACTGCTAGATGTGAAACAGTGAGGAAAGAATGCGTATAAAACGCAATTAAAGCTGGAGACCTTTTGCTTAACTTCTGATGGTAGAAGTACAGGGCAGCCATCATCTAGGGTAAAAGCGTTCGTCGCTGTATAAGTGACATAAAATGGACGTAGGAAGGTTCTAATGACGAGTGTGTAGTATATGCATACTGTATAAACTGCTAGATGTGAAACAGTGAGGAAAGAATGCGTATAAAACGCATTAAAAGCTGGAGACGTTTTGCATAACAGCGGATATTTTGGGATAAAGAACTAAAGACGTTAATGTTGTTTCAAAGTAACATGGGGAAAACTAAATTTGTTATTAAATTTTTACTTTTATTTTAAATAATATATAATAATTATATTATCGTGTCAACTATTTCTGTTACCGCTCACGTGTGTGTAGGGAATTGTGGAAGTGACGTCACGCTCGACAGTTCCCCACCAGTCAGGGAAAATTTCCCTGCGTCAGTTGTCCCTACACTCTTGTCGTGTGTACGCGTGTTCGCTGGCTAACGACACCATTTTAGCATTTTTAATGTCGCTTTCTCTCGTAGATGGAATGTATTATGGTGAATTAAAGTAACTCGTTTTGTTAATATCGATGAGTGCCTGCGTATTTCTTAATAAAGTTGTTCTTAAACGAAGTAAATAGCCGGAAATAAAAAATCGTTTGTAACTTTTAAACGGTTGATCGTAAGTAATTTTTTTCAATACCAATCGATTCAGCGTATCAAATTACATCTAGATATGTCTATGTCTATTCGTTAATATTAAGTTTAAGACCTTTTTTTAGCTGGATACCTTTTCCTTTACTCTAACCGAAAAGACCAATCAGTATTCATTATTTTACATTGCTTCTTCTTGTGTTTGTTCAGTGAGGTGTTTGTTATCCGAACATAAAAATCTTTTGCGAAAGTGTTTGTTATCTAATTTGTTCATTAACCAACCACCCACTGTATATATATTTATTTATTTACTTATTTATCTATCATATTTTTTAACTCTTTTTTTCCATTTTTTTCCATAAATAATACAATATTTTGGTTATTTGTTAAGATTTAGACTATTCTGATCAATAAATACTGAGATACAGTATAAGTAAAATTAACAGTCATGCTTATTTTTTGGATATGAGTGTATTTATAATTATAATATAAACTTATTCTTACACATACAGTTATTGAAAGTAATGATATAGCTGCTGTTTCAAAAATTATAAATAATTTCAAGCAATTAAGCCACAAAAATATGAATTAAGTTAGCATTTACTGTTATTTATTAATGTTTTTTCTAAATTATTTAATAACAATAACTAAACTAATATTATTTATTTAATAAAGTCAAAAGTTTTTCTTAAATTTACATACATAACATAAATTTTATTTTTTTACATATAAAAATAATTGATTATACTTACGAGCATCGATCACAGCAAATCATATATTCATCATCATGGTCAAATCCACTGAATAAAGAAAATATAAATCAAATTTTATGGAGTGAAATACTTAATAAATTTCTAGAAAAATATATTGAAAAAAAAACTAGAAAAAATAATTAGAAGGAAAAAGATATGATTTCAATATATATAACTACAAATTAATGATTTCATCACTTACAATAACAAGAAAACCAGAAATCATCATATTAATGAATATTGGTAAATATTTATGGAAAAATATATAAAAAGTCACTCTTTTTAGGTAATATCATAGTCAAGTAAAAACCAAAATCTTTAGACAACTGTTGTAAACAAATGGTTTCTTTTGTTTTGCATTTTGAATATCCCCAACACTTATTACCTATACACTAGTAATCAATAAAAATACAATAAACTTTTTGTTTTCAGTTGCAGCAGCATTCATATCATGTCCACAGATCTAAGTAAAAAGTACTAAGTACAAGCAAACTTCCTTATGCAGAAATAATCACGCTTTTACTCCGATAAATGCTATTCTAATATGTAATTTCAGTAAACCGTAATAAACTAAACTCAACTCTATAAAAATATCTATTAAAAGACATTTACAAATATTTACAATTATTTTCTTTGCTTTTATACTAGTGTATTGGAAAATTGATAAATTTAAAATTTGAATAAGTATTAACTAGTAAGTTAAACTCATCCAAATTTACAATTTTTCCACACACTATAATAACAAAGTCATATCTCATTTTTGATGTTATACCGATAACTTATGATCTCCAAATTACATCAATTAACAATTATATTATACAAAACTATTTTTTATTAAATTTTTGCAAAAATTCTATTTTATGTTTTCAAATTTTGAAGTTAATTATCCATAATTTATACTTTGCTTCTATTCTGTTTCTTTAATCTCAATATATAACCAGTCAACATACCTTAATTTTCTAGGAATTACAGTGTCTATGAATGTGATAATTCCTAAAAAATTAAGGTGTTTTGACCAGCCATATATTGAAGTTTAAAGTTAATGATTTGAAAATCCAAACTTGTCTGATATATTAAAAATTTCACATTATAAAATTACTTACCAAATGCAACGAGTAATACTTTCTTCTTGAGTATCTTCTTCATTATTAGTTGAAGTAGAAATAACTGAAAAACTTGTATCATCATCAATNGTTATACCGATAACTTATGATCTCCAAATTACATCAATTAACAATTATATTATACAAAACTATTTTTTATTAAATTTTTGCAAAAATTCTATTTTATGTTTTCAAATTTTGAAGTTAATTATCCATAATTTATACTTTGCTTCTATTCTGTTTCTTTAATCTCAATATATAACCAGTCAACATACCTTAATTTTCTAGGAATTACAGTGTCTATGAATGTGATAATTCCTAAAAAATTAAGGTGTTTTGACCAGCCATATATTGAAGTTTAAAGTTAATGATTTGAAAATCCAAACTTGTCTGATATATTAAAAATTTCACATTATAAAATTACTTACCAAATGCAACGAGTAATACTTTCTTCTTGAGTATCTTCTTCATTATTAGTTGAAGTAGAAATAACTGAAAAACTTGTATCATCATCAATAGTACCATTCACCTTAGGAAGTGGTGATTGAGGTGGTGATGGTGGTGGTGGCGCTCCATAATTATGATCCTATTTAAAATAATAATTTATTTCATCAAATCATTGTAATACAGTAATACCTCGGACTTATGCTACCCCAACTTACGCAAACCTGGAGTTACGCAATTTTCAAATCTCGTCGATTCGTCTTTTGTTTTTGAGCACCACACAACTCTCGATTACTCACTCGCCCCACACTATTGTTCAGCTTACATGTTCAGCAGACATGTCGCATGGAATCGACACATAGCTACAATTTATTTTGTGTTATTTATTTCTGTGTTGGTTATATCTATGGAGACTTGAGAGACTATGTGGTGATTTCTCGTAACCATGAATGAATCAAAAGACGAGATAAGATTAACAAGAACATTTATTAGCTTACATACATCCGACTTGGGTTTTACACAAATTGCAAAATTATACCCCGACTTACGCGAATTCGACTTACGCAGTTATCGCTAGGTCCCACCTATCACGTAAGTTTGGGGTATTACTGTACTGTATTATATGTGTATCAAACATAATAAACTTGTTTCCTTTGATGACTACAGTTACCATAAAATTTATTGCATATTTGTTAAAATTTATTTATATTAAATAATATATGTACTGTATTTTATGGACTATAAGATGTACTTTTTTCTTTGAAAAATTGCCTCCAAAATTCAGGTGCGTCTTATACTCAAAATTAATATACAAATGTCCAAGTGTTTGATTTAAAATTCCCACCAGTCTTAAAAATGGCCATATATTTGATACCATGGGAAACCTATCTCTATCTGGCAATGAATCCAACTGGCAGCAGCAGTGCACTGATGCAATGAACATGGGTGCATTCTTTTATTCCTATACGTAACTCCACATGAGCAACATCTGTTTAAAAATTCCTGCGGAACGCATTCCTAACTCTATAAGTGCGCGCCGTTAAACGGCAAAAACGGCCACTTATAGAGGTAGTTTGCGGTGGAAAGCAACATGGCGTCCTCCATGGCTCAGATAGTTTCATTTCGGGGTCCATTACCATATGTGGTTTTATGAATGAAAATTTAGAAATTGTGAAAGCGCAAGTTAGTGCATGCGCACGTGGTGATATACAGTAAGTGTCTTTTCGAATTTTTTTCGGATGGTAGCTGACATTCTAATTTTTTTCATGACTATTTTGAATGTTCTTTCAACAAATAATCCATTTTATGGTTAAATTTTACAATTGGGACTCTTCTTTTTCCTTTAAAAGCTCATATTTTAGAATTACAATATTTTTGTTAGTAGTTAACAAAAATAATGGTAAAAATGTTATTTTTTAAAAAAAATTGCTTAAAAATTAAGGTGCGTCTTATAGTCCGTAAAATACGGTAACTAATTTATTTTGTAGGCTGTAGATTAAACACAGTATATGTTTGATCTGCAGATGTTCTTCAAACATTTTGATATTTGATTGTAATGTAACCTGACTAACCTGACGAATACCTTTAAATAAGATCAAAACCTTATTTAAAGGTATTTAAAGGTAAAGGTTAACTGTTAAACATTTCTGATGAAATTTATGATTGTTTATATTCTCTACTCAAATTTATCCAGTTCCTACAATTAATTTTATAAAAGAACCTATTTTTGTACAAAGCTGTAAAATTTTCTATCTCAAATTTTATTTCATTTTAAAATTCATTTAAAATCTTAAAAACCTCCAAAACTGTTTTGAACCTTACTATTATAATACCATAACAAAATAAAAGAAAATTAATTAAAAGCATATGCTTCAAAAATCAGCTTAAAATTATTTTCCTATCTGATGACAAGTAATTTACATCACAATAATCTCATATCTTAGAATAAAAATCAATACAGTTAATATTCATTGTTATGACTGAAGTAACCTCTCCTTATGCTAATGTTACAAGTTGCCTGCCACAAAAAAAATTCGAATTCAAATCATGTATTAAAAAATATTCAAGAATTTATTCTTCACAATATAGTCAACATAAAATGTCTTTTTTTACACAAAAAAATTATCATCACACAAACCAACTACAGGTAACCACCGTATAACACAGTAGTTACATTCCAAAAAATTGCCGTGTTATGTGAATCCGTGTTATGCAAATCAAAGAACTAGTACGAAAAAGAGAGTTAGGTTCCAAAAATTATAAAAACATGCTACTATATTTTCATAATTAAGTTAAATATCTTTATTAAAATTTTCTTAAGTGATACATATTAATATAAATTAAACAATGTTTTCTTTGTCATCACTAAAAGCACTATTAACCGAGAGCGTTTCATTTTTGGCAAGTTATCGTTATCCTCTGAGCATTTTTCTGCATTATTTTCAGATTCATGCTTTACCTTTTGCAAAAAGTGTATGTAATTTTAGATTGCTTGCTTCTAGTTAAAAGATCTTTATAAATTTCCTTATATGGTGCTAAGCACTTATGAAATAACGGAAAAACATCTGGCAACATCAGAAGCAGAAGCGTCGAGATCTGGCAAAATTGAAACAATTTTCGCGAAGGACCATGTGTATGGAGACGAGAAAAGAAAATTTACACACTGAAGTACTAATAGTTTACGAAAATAATAATTTTCGTGAACTATTAGTACTTAAGTGTGTAAAAATTTATTACATTTCATGTTGTACGAGGGTTTTACCCATTTCTCAAACCGTGTCAGAGTGAATCCGTGCTATAAAAGTACCGTGTTATATGGGAGATGGTACCAATTCTCGAACCGTGTTAGAGTGAATCCGTGCTATAGAAGTGCCATGTTATACGGGGGTTACCTGTATATAAATCAATTTAATTATGCAAAATCTAAATAAAAAATAAAACACTATTTTTTCTTAAATGTCTATGATTTTTACTAAATCAATAAAAAAAATTAAACATATTAATCTTTATGATAATGTTTAATCATAAAATAAGTTACAAATATCATTTTGAATTTGAATGACTACTTTTTCCTAGATATTCAGACACAAACTGATTAATAATGCTTATTCAATGTCACAAGAACACAAATTAGAAGAATTGTTTTTAATACAAATCATTTATCTTATGTACATTTATGAATAACATTTCTACACAGCTCTGTGAGGCAGCTGTCACAATTAAAATTATCTCTTGTTTCCTAGAACAACAAAGAACTAGAAATACTTCTTAACAATTACCATTAGTTTATTCAGTTCTGAAAAATTATAAAATCATCAAAAATTCCTTATCTTTAATAAAATAAAGCAAAAATACAACTATATTTTCCATATCACACTAAAAGCATTGTGTCAATTCTGTTCATGGGTTGTTCTGTTGCCAATCACAAGAGGCCAACTTTACGAATGAAACCATAAAATACACAAGAGGGAAATGTGCAGCATATTCACTTGCAGCAATTTAACACTTCCTAGTAATAACTAACTTTTGCTTGGAAGTAAATTGCAATTTTCAAAATTATTTACTTATAATTTAATTTATAAACTTACAGTTAGAACGTAAATGGTTACTGACCATTTACTGAAAGAAAATCAATGGCCATTATTTTGATTTGCAGGTAGTCATCTTACTTTCTCCTTGAAAGAATGACTCAAAACAATCTGATTTAATATTTGAGCAATTTTTTATCAAAATATAATTTTTTCTATAATTATATCCATGTTCACAGAAAAATACAACACTAATATGTAATCAGGTCTAACATTATGTCTTAAACTAAAATAAGAAAACTAATGAAAAATAAGATTGTATTTGAAGAACTTAAATGATCAATACATGTAATAATCAGATCTAACAACAAATTATAAGTCATCTAACAGCAATTTAATTTTTAAAAATGTTTATTCATATATTTTATATATAATTAATATTGTTTAGCTGTTTAAAACTGTTCAATAGTTAAATGAAAAATACATTATTTTAATTGTAAATAGAACAATTGTAATAATTTTCTACTGAAACTTGCCTGAAATGCATATGATATTGATAGTTTATATTCAACTTAAGATTAACTATGTAATCAAATGATCTATTACAAATAATCTAGCTAGCAACTAAAAAGCTGAATAAGTATTTTTAAGGATTTTTCTAACACATTATATAACTGGGAAAAATTTTTTAAATTGAAGAATGGTCATAAATCAGAAAACTGCGGGCAAATCAGAATTATGGACTTAGTTCCTTCATGTAATAGTCACGTAACTAGTCCTATTGCATCAAATGCATTTATATATATGCATAGTGTATATATATATATAATTATGTAGTTTCATACATAATGTGTTTCATATATATAATTGTGTAGTTTCATACATAATGTGATATATATATATACTGTGTATATATTATGTATATAAAGGAATAAGAATAGAAAAATGTCACACACATCCAATCAGATCAGTGTTTCATTTGCAACACATGATCTATATTCTGCCAAACACACAAGTTTAATATTGCATTCTAGCAGACTAGAAGTGTGCCATTACTTGTCTCTTGCTTGAAGATTTAATTGACAACTTCAAGTACTGTACATACAGCAATTTTTTTTTTAAAAGTTTGTCATAATCTGCATATATTTTGATAGTAATTATACATTTATTAAATAATTTTCTAATTATAATTATTTTCATATTTATAGTTGTTTAAGACGAAAATAATTCTATTCTGAATGATGATAAATTGTGGCACATCCAATTTTATATCCTTTTAAAATTTACTTTTTTTAATTTTTAAAGCAATTTTTTAATTTATATACATTCAAAAATTTTTTCTAAACATCCATCTCTTGCATAACCAATCAATGCAATTTTTTAAATTATTCTATGTTTTATGAATATAGGTACTGTCCATAAATTATATAATGCAGATATTGGTGAGTTGATGATGTAATGCTATGATGCAATACAAGGGTGGAGATGTTTACAAAAACATTATGTAATACTAGGATCTCAACCCTTAGGTAACAGAATGATTCATATATAAACATCCAAACATCATAGTTATATTTTAAAGCCAAATGATTATCAAATTATATCAGACTACATA